GGGGGGGGGGGGGGGGGGGGGGGGGAGGCAGAATAGAAACTAAGATACAACCTTCCATTGATTCACCTATATTTTTTCTTACCTGCCCTCAACTTTATATTTTGAGAAATTTCAAATCTGCAGAAGAGTTGTAACAGCAAACAGCCTTATACCCTTTTTCAAGATTCATCCATTGTTACCGTTTTGCCACATTTGCTCTCTCTCTCTTTTTCTGTCTCTGCACACTATTCTCAAAATACAAATAATTTTTTTCTTTGAACCACTTAAAAGTTATTGGCAGACATCATGACTTATCACCCCTAAATACTTCACCGTCTGTCTCTCCACAGTACAAGAGCATGCTCCTACACAACCACAGTACAGTGATAACATGCAGGATCAGCTAAGGATATTATCTAACACACAGTTCATTCATGAGGAATCCAGGCCACTCTCTCTGCAGAGTGGCCCTCACTTGAGATGGAATTGTTTACTGATGATTAGATTCCAGTTGAATGTTTTGGTGGAGCACGCGCTAGCTGGTGGTGTCTCCTCAGTAGGAAATTAGATGATACAAGTTTAATCCCTTGATTAAGGAAGGCTTGATCTACCAGATTTCACCACATAAAAGTACCTTTCCCTTTTTAACAAGTAATCTGCGACTGATACTGTGAGACCCTGGTTATCCTGTTCTCCAACAGTCTTCCACCCAGTGGGGTGAGCATTCAAACACATTTTTTTTAGAGTTTGTAAATGAAGTGTTTCCTTCCTGGTTTGTTTGTTTGTCTGCATGTTAGGTTTCCAAGGCGTCGGCTGACCTCATGTCCTACTGCGAGGAGCATGCCAGGAGTGACCCTCTGCTGATAGGGATACCAACCTCAGAAAACCCTTTCAAGGATAAAAAAACATGCATCATCTTATAGAGGAAGGGCAGCACAGTTCCTCGCGTCTTCTCAAATCAAATTATGAGCAGCTCCTTGAAGAGAATTACCATCAGCTTATTTGGTAACCACTGCTAATAACTAAAATGCTCTTAACATGGAATGGTAGACTCTGAGGTCTTTATTTTCCAAGTTGTTCTTTCTCTGAAATACCCTTTACTGATCTAATACAAAATAATAACAATCTTGTTTTTCATTTGGTAACTGTGGTGTCATATTGGGTTGCTGCTTAATGAAAGTCAGTCTGGGCCTTTTAAACAACACAATGATATACTTCCAAATATATGAACAATCCATTTATGTCAAGACCTAAATTACCTAAACCCCTGTCTAAATTAAAATTCCAAGAATAGCTTAAGTCCTTAAATCTTTATATTATAATGTGTTCTTAATAGGGTTGTGCCAACCTGTACAGTGTACACGGATGAGGAGTGTTTTGTGTATATAGATATAAATATATGTCTTTGTATATACACATATCAAAGCTTATTAAAATGCCTCTTCATACCATCAGTTCCTCAGCTCCAGAAGTTGTACCTTCATCTTAAGCTATGTGTAGGTAGAATAAGAAGTTCTTTTTATATAGTTATTGTACAAAAAGTAAAGAACATCCTAAAGGCTGTATTCATTGTAATGGAGAAATGAAGTCATCTCTTGCTGACCCTCTTCGGCTACAATAAACTGTGCCAATTAAAATTTTTAAAGTGAATTGAAAGCCCTTTTATAATGTGAGGTATTCATTCATTCACAAGAGGCCTTTTGGCTTCAGTGATCCTGAATCTAGAAAAGGGGAGGACACCAGGCATCTGTGTCCCCGGGACTCATGTTCTCTGGACCAGGGATAGACATCTGAAATATCCACCCTAATGATGGGAATGAGACAGAGTGCACAGGAGCCTGGCAGAGAGAGGAGCAGGAATGTGTGAAAACCAGCTGCTATTCCTGACCAGACTCTGTGATTTAGCTCCTCTCTTTCTCTCTGCCTTCCCTTTATCTTTCCTGTCCTGCTAGAACACCTATTTGCAGAGGTAATGTTCACCTCCCCAGCCCAAGTGGGTGGAACATGGTGGGGATGAAACATACAAAAAACAAAGGTAGTAAGACAAGCTCTTTTCAAGCATCTGCAGTGTCATTCCTACCTTGTCCACAAACAGTCCAAGAGAGGCGTGGATTCAGTGGCACACGACTTGGGCCCAAGGGTTCCAGCAGCTGGGTGTTGGGTAACTCAGTTTTCCTCTGGGCATGAATGTAGCCCTCACATCCTCAGTTTCCAGTGTGGATCCCAAAAGAAGGAATCTCCTATGACCAGAGAGTATGTTAACTTTATCAAAGGGGAAGAGAGGTTCTTTTTTTCTAAATGCTCACTTAAGGGCCCAAACCATACACTTGGCCTCTGATATTTTAATTCATCTTCAGTTCATTAAAAATAACTACTAATGAAGGATTAAAAACGTATTCTCAAAAAGGATTAAACCCCAAGAAGGAATTATTTACCACGGATTTTCCCTACTTCTGTATAGTCTTGCCTTATAATGCAAGCCCCTTTTAAAATCTAATGTCTGGGCTTTGAGTATTATGTTAATGTGGATAAACAAATGCCAGACTATTTTTAAACTGCTCGAATATATTCAGTGTTTCTCCACATCACCTATCTATTCAGCATTGTGAACTGCCCTCGCTTTTCCAAGACCATGTGAATCACTGCCCTAAACCTCTTGTCATCTAGAGCTTGGTTCTGCAATATGCCCAATTCCCAAGTAAATTATAGCCACCTGTTTAGGAGAGAGAAAGGTTTTACCTTTCAAACGGCAAAATTTGAAATGTACACTAAAAAGACATCTTTACATTTAATGCTTCACTCAAGGAGACATTCTCTTTTTTAATGAGTATATTTTTATGGTAGTTTCAGAACACTAATCTTATTTTCACTCTGATTTTTAATGTTACTTTAACAAGATGTATTATAAATATTTAAAGAATTTTCATGAAATTATGTTTATTAAACAGTTATGTGCACAATTTTGGTAGCAAGCATAGTTTATTCTTCAGTACTAAAACATGTTCTAAAACAGAAAACAAATATGTTTTGCTATATATTTATTAATATGCTTGTAGTGATAAGGAATGGACTTGAGGTCCCAGGAGATTTCATTTTGTTTTTGCTGGCCAGATATCATAAAGGCCATGAGTATCAATGTCATGTAACTTCCTAACCAGGTATAGGACCTGTTCAAGAAAAGTGAAATCTAATCCTTTGATGCTGGACCCAAGGGGGAGGGGGTTGTAGCTAAATATTGATTTACATGTAACTAGACTATATGTGAGAAAAGAAAAAAAAATAAAATATATATATATATATACATATATATGATATGCAGAAGTCACTTTTATTTACCGGGCTTTATTCTACTTGTGAAGCCACACAGTCCATCTGTTCTGCAGCAGCTGGTTTATGATAATGACAGACAAATGCCCAGTGTGTGTTATTTTTTCCAACTACCACTGTAATGACACACAATCACATATATACATACAACTTCTTGGCTTCCTATCTATGAAGCCAGTTAAATATGTTCACTATCTTTGATGCTGCTTGTGTTAACAGTGATCTCACTGTTTTGTATTCTTCTGTCTTTATTAGTTCATCATAAATCTGTCCAGTTGAGGCCTCAGGATCGTGGCGAGGTATGCTAGACAAAATTTCATGACTCCAAAGAATTTTACAGAAACACTTTTTTTTTTTTTCCTAGAGAGAAAACACTTTATATACCAGGTGGTTCCCAAGTTATAGGTTGTAACTCCTTTTTTTCTAAAAAGAATCAGGTTTTTACATTTCCTTACTTTATTAAAATACAAGGTGCCATACTTATCTTTTAAAGGAAAGACCTAATTTACTTTCTTTGTTTGGACTATTTTTGTACTTTACTAATTTTTAAACTATCAGATAAAAACATTGTACTGATGATTTAGTAATTTTGAGGCATAGGTTAGTTTAGGTAATAGAGGATGTGCCAAACTCTCTCTTCAGATGCCTTCTTCTCAACCGATTTACAACTGAAATAGTGCAGTCTGAGTGATTATACCCAATTTTGACTTAAGAACGAAATAGGCCCAAGAAATGAATTACACTACATGTCAGTCCTTTCTCAATAAAATAAAATACAGAGTATGTTATGAATTGTATTGATTTCTTTTATGGTGTATCTGTTAATAGGAAAACGTACATTGAATCAAATAGAATTATATGTGTATTAAAATAGAGCGCTTACCTAAAGTTGGATGGCCTACGTCGTCTTCTAGCCAATCCTGTGTCCCTGTGTTGTGTGGCTTTGGACAAGGCACTTCATCTCCCTGGGCCTCCATTTCGCCATCTGTAAAACAAGGGGCTTGAAGTAGATGGTGGCTGAGATCCCTTCCTGCCCTCAGATGCCTTGGTCCAGTCACCCAACCCTCTACTTGTCTGCCAACGTGTTGGTGCTATAAGCTGCTTCAAATATAAACTCAGTTTGTCTATCGTGTATGCTCATTTAATAGCTTATGAAAGGCCTTTTTGTCATACAGCTCTTTTTTCTAGTTTTGTGGACTTGATTACTGTAATAATGTCTTGTTGTTTTTAGCTGTGTAACTATAAACATATATTCTCTTGATGTCTCAGTAAAATTTGATATGTAGTTGATGGGATCTTGTTATTTTATAACATTCTTTGGCTACTCATCTGTCCAGCATCTTATTAACCTAAACACTGTGACCGTTGTTTGGAAATCTGTCCTATGGAAATAATAAAAGCATTTATTTCACAGCTGATGTGTTCACAGATTTGAAAGAAGTTTCATTAAAGCACCACTGCTCTCTGTACTGGGTCGGTGCCTCATGTGTCACCCTGCCCGTGTCTGGCTGAACGAATGAAAAGACCAGTTCTCCTCCCCTTTTCCTCCACTCCGTTCACATTTTCTGAGCACCTGCCGAGAGTCAGGTGTTGAACCCGGGCTCTGATGACACTCGAATAAGACACGCCAGCCCGTGAGCAGCTCACAGGCTAGAGTGAGGATGGTAGGAGTAACAGACATACAGACTAGTAAGTATGTCGCCACGTGAGAAGTGCCATAATTCAGGTGACTACGCAGTGCCCTGAGAGCCCAGGGGGAGAGGCCTCCACAGCAGCGAAGTCCGAGAAGGCTTCCCAGGGAGGTGATGTTTGAGCTGGGTCTTCAGAGAAGCCCTTTAAGCCCCGGGATGAAGTCTTGGGAGGAAATGATAGGAGGAGGAGCAAAGGGGGCTCCAAGCTAGTGTGGAGAGCGTCTCCCATACTACCTGTCACCCCACAAGAAACAGGAAGTCAGTGGAGGTCATTAAGGAGTGACATAAGGGTTCCCGGCGCGTGCAGAGCTGTTTCCCATGCTGAGACCCAGCAGTGACCATGGAAACATGACAAATGCAAAGGTCATTAGACTCGCAATGACTCATGTTCACCCAGCGTTTGCTGAAGGTCCCCAGCCTCCTCCTCAGCCCCTTCTCCCAGGGCTGGGATTCCCACAGAGTCGAAGGAAAGCCAGCCACTGGGCACCTGCTTCCGGACTAAGCAGCTACAGAGGCGGCCCCTGCTCCTGAGAAGCGGCACTCACACGCTACAAAGGGCAGGCGCAAATGACAGTCACCTCATCCTTTCTAGGAAAGGACTGAAGAATTTAGACACTTTGGTCTTGAAAAATAGGCAGCAACTGACAAGCACTTTGGCACAGACCAGATTACTAGAAGTTCTTGTGACTTTCAATGGAAGACAGTTGTACTGGGGAGGGGAGACGGGATAGGGCAGCGCTGAGGTCAATGAGGCTGAGAGGGGTAGATTATGTAAGCAGTCGTGGCAGATGAAAAGTGACCCTTAACGTTATGAACAAGGAACTCAAACCCACAGGTAATGGTGGGAGCACGTCACATGGCCTTTCAGCTCCCCTGGCTATGAGCAGCCATCCGCTTCCCACTGGCAAGAGGGTCAATTACACATAGACATGTGGATGTTCGCTATAAGCTGCCTTATTGGGGGCTAGGTCGTCAGTCTTGAGCACTTCTCCCTCCTTCATTCCCTGTGCCCAGGTGGACAAGCCTTTAGCTCACAGCTCTGACTGTAGAACCCGGTCCCCCTATCAGCTTTGACCATCTCTGCACAACCTGGGGTGACTGGCCTTTAGCTTGTTTTCAGAGTATGTTCTATTCTACTTGCTCCTCTACTGCCCCTTTTACCACTATCAGCAGCTAATAACCTTTGTCTCCAGAAGAGCCCTTTTGTTGCTCCAATTACTATCTCTTTATCTGAGTTATTCACATCTATTCACATCAGCTGTTTAACTGTAGGCCAGCCCTGGGCAAACGTGTACAGTTGGTCTCAGGAACCCTCACCTCCACTATCAATTTTTAAAGAAACTAGTATTTTTTCTGCCCAGGAGGAAAATGCAGTCCAAATAAGTTCATCCTAAAATGCTAATGACTTAATATATAAGTCTGTAGAAAGCCACTGGCCCTACAAAATAGAACTATGGAGAGAGCAATGCTTAGCACAAAGGAGTGGAAGTTAAGTTTTAGGAATCACTGAGAATTATTTTTACATATGAAACATTGCTATACTCCTAGATAATCTATTCAATTATGAAAGCAAGTACTTTAAAAAGGTTGAATTACACAATGGTAAGATCTCGAGTTTGGGAATCTGAGAGGCATCTATGTGCCAGTTGCTACTTCTGGCCTCTAGATCCAAACCTGCCCCCACCCCTACACACCCACACTGCTTAGTGACAGAAGTGAGAGCTCCCTCCACTCAAAGACCTTACATCTCTCCTGATATAGGACATTAACCATGTGATAGCACAAGGACAGTGGATCCACAACTTGGTCTGCTGGGGAAGGTCTAAGGCAGTCACTGAACAGATACAGCCCGCAGTACCTACTCTGTGCCAGGCACTGACAGACCTGGTTATTAAAGTCCCCTAAGATCAGGGTAAGGGTAACCTTAAAAGTTGGCATGTGAGATTTAGATAGTACACAAATTTTAAAATTTATTTTACTAGTATATATTTTTTTATGTAACATTGACACTGAACAACACAGGTTGAACTGCACGGGTCCACTTATGCGCAGATTTTTCTCAATAAATACCTGTACTGTTTCAATCTGCGGTTGGGAGTTCACAGATGCAGAGAGCTGACTGTATGCATTGATCCACTCCCATTTTATACAGGGAACTTGAGCAGCCACAGATTTTGGTATCCGTAGGAGGTTCTGGAACCAATCCCCTATGTATACCAAGGTACAACTAAGTTTTGGGGGAGTCAAAAGTTATACACAGATTTTTGACTGCTGGGCTGTCAGTGTCCCTATCCCCTATGTTGTTCAAAGGTCAAAACTGTATTAGGAAAACTAGAACTAGCACAAGTTTTGATATATAAAGTTTCCTTCTAAAACAGATGTAAATAAAAAGTAAGCCAATTTATATTTTCAAAAAATAAACATATATAGTACAGCTTGTACTTGGATATGTTAAAAATTGTAAAGGAGCCTTACAGTGTGTCAGAAAACAGACATCCCTTTGGAGAACTGCACTCCAACCATCATCCATGTGCAACAAATCATTACTGCTTTTAACCTTCAAAAGGCCAATGTATTTTTTTTCATCTGCCGAAGCATTAGATGGGTTGGTTCTAAATAGACCCTTTTAGAGCTGACACCAGTGAGGTACATTTTAATATAGGCCATATGACATCTGTGACATTTCTGTGAAGCGCTGGGGAAAGGAAGGACACAACATTGACACTAGGCTGGCATTTTGCATCTGTTCTCCCATTTTTTCTTTTAATCCTTACCCGAGGATTGTTTTTATTGATTTTAGAGAGGGAAGGAGAAAGTGAAACATCGATGTGAGAGAGAAACATCAATCGGTTGCCTCCTGTACGTGTCCCAACCCCATCGGGGATCAAACCCGCAACCTAGGTACATGCCCTGACCAGGAATCCAACCTGCAACCCTTTGGTGCACGGGACAATGCTCCAACCAACTGAGCCACCCAGCCAGGGCTGTTCTCCCATTTTAAGCCCCAGGACAGCTCTTACAGGAAAGTAGGTGTTCTTTTACTCTATCCTCCAGATGAGCTAAGACTCAGAAGTAAAGAAAGTTATGTAGGATCCTACAATTAAAAGGTACAAATGATAATTTCATATACCTAGGTAATCAGACTCTACAGCAAATGGACTATTCATATTTGTAGCTTGGTTTGAAAATGGGGGGAAAATAAAATAACTGGGAAATTTAAAATTAATCAAGTAAGCAAGTAAGTTCTTCAGTAATCAAGAGTGTCACCAAAGGGCTGTGGGTTCTATCTCTGATCAGGGCACATTCCCAGGTTGCAGGTTGTTTCCCCAGTAGGGGTGCTTATGGAGGCAACCGAGCTCTCTCTGCTTCCCCCTCTCCCTTCCTCTCTCTCTAAAATCAACTAAAGAAAAAAAAAAGTGTCCTGGCCTACACCTTAACTAAGAATAAACAATAATAAATTGTAGTCACTTACTATGGCCAGGTATTCTCAGCATTTTGTATCAATTCATTTAATTCTCACAACAAACCCATGAGACTGCCACTATTATTGTCCCTATTTTACATATAAGGACATGGAAGTTTGGAGAGATCCAAAAGTGTATTTGATACACTTAAAAACAAACAAAAACCTCTGCACTTTTCGTGAGTAATCAGTATGAAGTGAGCGAAAGAACACGTTTTGGACTCAGGAAATGTAGGTTCTAGTCTGACTGCCATAAATTTGCTGGGCAACCTTAGGGCCTTTATGACTTCTAGTCCAGTTCCAGAAAAAAAAGACTCTATTATTTAAAAAGGATTTAGACTTGGTAGTTGTTAACGTTTATTCTAGTTTTAAATTTTATACAAATTTGAGAAAGGAGAATAATTCACTCTTGATTGCTTTTTGCCATTTCCACCCCAAGTCATTCTACATTTTCCTTCTTGAACTGAAAATCAAGAGGAGAAGAACCAGAGTCTAGAGTATGGGGTCAGAGAAGGGTATGTGGGTTTGCCGTGTATAATTATAGGTATTTAAAAGATATTTAAAGATTCACTTCCTGATACTTCAGCTACTGACTCATCAGCAGGACTGGAAAGAATTTTTAAGGAAAAGTAAATTGTAGAAAGGTATTTTGTATATAGGCAATTAATAGAATTAAGTGAGCAAAGCTCTTCAACAAAGTATCAATAATGCCTTATAAACAGATCTCATAAAACATAACTACAAAAAAATTAAACTAGTTCACTCAAACATTCAATTTGAGTAACAGAGCATTTGCTTTTTAGAAACAGGACAGAGGAATTTATTCATTTGTTGAGCTTCTATTAGGAGTGTAGAAGCTCTTGCTAGCACTATGCTATGTCCTAGGATAAACCCAGAAAAGACAGGGATTTCCCAGGATAGTGGGGGTGGGGTGGGGATGGGCAGTAAGAGGTAAACAGATAAACCACTATATACAATGTGGTAAATGCTATTATAAGAAGCTGCTCTAAATGAGTCAGACAAGGTTTCACAGAGGAGGCAATAAATCAGCTGGGCCTTCAAGGATGAGTAGGAGTTTGTTAGTAATAATAGGGAAAGGATATTCTTAGCAAAAACAGTGGATCCAAATGCTAAGTTCTAAAGATTTCTGGGGTATCACAGATCTTTGTGGCGGGAGCATGGGAAGGAGAACATTAATGAGGCTAGAAAGGAAGTTTGGGTCCAAAGCATAAGAGTTTGTATTGATTATATAAACAAAGGGA